CAATGTCTAGAGCAGGACACCCGGGAAACAATGGAGCATCTCTTGTGTACTTGCCTCCTATTTGAAAAGCTACGCGGTAAGCATCTGGGGTCTCCATGATATGATACACTGGACGAGGTATCGAAATTGAGACCACAGAGTCTGTTAGCATTCTAAAATTATGTCTACTTCTCTTGGACCTACGAACGGAACTCCATCTGATATCGCCAAGAATCAAAAGTAGTCTATGCATGGCTTATTGACCTACCAGTTTAACTTAACCTAACCTAACCTAACCTGAAATCTCCCCGAGACAATGGGATTTATAAAATCTTAATGTTCCTTTTAATTTACCAACTCTTTTGTATGATATATGCAATACTCACACGATATAAAAGAGAATTGTCTGAAGTTTCATGTAATCAATGAAGAATCCTTAAAACTTTCAACAAGAGCACTATTCCCCAAAAACCGTTACCAATAAAATTTTATAAATATTTCACATCAATCATCTATTACTAAAATGGAATAGAATAATAGTATATTTTATTACAAAATATATACATACATATTTATCCATACACCAGCTAAGATCTCTCTGCTAGCAATTTAGCTCGTTAAGTAGTTATATAAGGAAACCATAACAGCAGATGCCGCTGAAATACTGACTAGATAAGTCATGAATGAATTGCATCTTTCATACTAAAGAGAGAAATAAAACAGAAATATTGACAATACCTAAAATAAGTATTTCAACAAACCGAAAATAATAGCAACAAATTTGTTTTGCTTCTCCATTTGAAAAATGTCTCTTGTATTTTTTTCTTCATAAAAAACATCAAAAACTATAAAAAAAAATACCAGCAGGACACATGATGAAATAAAAAACATAGTCATATTAGCACCCAAAGAATCACAGTTGTAACGACAAGTCCATAGTTCGAAGCGTCAGTTAGTCATATGCAGGGGCAGCGTACTGGCAGTCAGAAGCGTCGGCAAATCGTCCTTTCTTTAGTTCGTTAAATGTTTTTCGTCTRGTTGTCTTTGTCACACTCTTCGTYGCAGCGTTCGTTGTCTGCGAACCGCGCTCAATCTACAATAATTACTTCGTCARCTAGCAGCACATCATCTTCTCCATTCTGCTCCACATCATAATACTCGGCCGTCGGTAGATTGTTGTCAGCCAGTTGGTCGTAAGCATCGCTACCAGCAATGCTGTCGGCATCACCTTCATCTACTGTGTCATAGTCATCGTTTTCATGATCATCATAGTTTTCATCGTCGTACTCATCGAAAAAGTATAGATCATTTAATTCATCACCATTGACATCGTCATCGCCATCGTCATCGCCATCGTCCTCGTATTCTTCATCCTCGAAATCTTCATCTTCTTCCACATCAACGTTCTCGTCAAAGACCGCTTCATCATCATCCTCCTCCTCTAAGCCCTCCTCATCATCAATATTGGATTCGAAGCCGTCTTGGCTATAACTTATACCCTGTTCCACTTCCTCTCCAAACTCTGCCGCTTGCAAATCAACTTCATCGTCTTCGCCGGCAGCTTCACTGGCGCTCACAGTCGATGCTGAATTGGTGGGCGTGGTTGCGCTCGCCGGATTGCCAAAGCCCATGCTGTTAGCAATACCGAACACATCTGTTTCGGCGGCAATTGCCATAAACTCCTCCAACAAGTAGATTTGCTCTTCAGATACCTCCACGGTGGATTCCGATAGCGCCGTGGCCGTGGCTGTGGCCACAGCGGCTGTTGCTGCAGCAACTGTAGCCGACGTGGCATGCAGACGCCTGCGTGTGGGCCTGTACTGACTGCTGCTGGCACCTGCATTGCCAGACATTGTGACTGCGTCTGTCGTTTGGTCCGTTTCGGAATGTTTTCGCTTAACCTGTCCGTAAAGAGAGAGAGAGAAGCACACAGAAATCGAGGCGGACAAGAGACATTTTTCAATTAAGCAAAACATTATGTCCTCAACAAACTTACGGAACGTCGTTGCTCCTTCAACGAACCACGGCATATGGGGCAGCGATTGGCCCAAGCGTACTTCTGGTACGATAAGTAGACCTCCAGACATTCATTGCAGAACGAGTGACCGCATGTAATGCGTACCGGCGAACGCTTCTCATCGAGGCACAGCACACAGCGTTCGCTTTTGCTTGTCTCACCAGCGGCAGCGCTGCCACTGGGCTTATTGCTTAGATTCTTCGCTATTTTTTTAGCATCGCAGCTGGCATTTGCGCGACTCTGGTTACAGTTAGGACTATTATTGCAATTTACATTACTATTGACTTTTTTATTATTGTTATCGCTATTATCGCTATTATTGTTATTATTATTATCTTCGTCGGCCATATTATTCATTATTCGTATGTCTTCGTGGCCGATCGCTGCTAATATGAGTGTTTAGTCAACTCAAATCTCGATCGGTTTCAGCCTGTCAAATGGCTGACAACTTTTCTATGTCTCTCTTTGTATCTTTTGAGTTATTCTTGATTGTTGTGTGCTTCAATTTATTATTATTATTGTTGTTATTACTGTATTTTTTGTCTGATTGTTTTCAACGTCGACGTCAATTTAAAATTCGGCTAGTACAAAAATATATATTTGTGTAGAATTATTTAAATATTTACTGAGGAAAATTGTTGAAATATTTGTTTTGAAAAGAAAGAAATCACAAAACTAGACAAAAAAGTTTGGCATGCGAAGTGGAATTTGAGGTGTGAAGCGTAGATAGGCAAATGCTTTTGTGAATTGTGCGAGCAAAACCTTAGAATCACAAATACACCCTGCAACAATTTGCATTTTTATAAATCAACGCTACTTTCTCAAGCGATAGTTAGCCTCTCTCCGGATATTTGGAGCTTGAATCTGGGTGAAAAGGAAATATTGTTATATTAAATAGTTTTCTTTCATTTTTTAAAGAAGTGGCTCGTAGTTATACGTAGTGAGAGCTTCATAGAAATCGAGATCTGGGGCCCTATTCTGTATCTCGCTTCGTAAATGTATTTAATTCGAAATTCGGATGTACTTTATAATTGTGCGAAAGTTGCACCACCCTGTGCCACAATAAATATGTACAATTTTGGTTTTCGAAAATTGGCTTGAAAATCCGAAAATCGACTTACAGAATATAAAAAACCCGAATTCGAGTAAATCTTTTGTCGAATCGAATTACAAAATAGGCCCCCTGAGTCGTGATCAGTTGAAAAATTTATAATAAAAAGGTATATCTGCAGATAGAGGTTTCAATAAATAAGTAAAAAGTCCAGCTTTACTATAAACATAAGGATTTGACATTTTACTTAAGAAAATAAGTTTGGGCATGAGATCGGCGCAGTTGGCTCAAAAAAATTCCAAACCAGAAGCCCAATTTTCGGTTACTTCTTACAGCTATTGGAGACGTATGTTCACTTTCAAGGCGGCGATCGTCTCAAAACTTTTTGCATATGCAAGCGACTTCACATAATCTTACAAAAAATAGTCCACTAGTGATAAATAACACGATTCTAGAGACCAAGATGTATTCCACAGAAGTTCATTCAATAGAAAACTGATATGAAATCAAGTAACAGCTCTCAAAAAGACCAACTCAGAAAAGAGTTTTTTATCACTGGAAACCTTACTTTAGAAAACACCCTTTATTATAAGTGTTAGTATATTTAAGAAAGGCCAAAATGTAGTCTCTTAATTTGAACTAATCGTGGTTCTAGGTTGTCCTAGCTTCTTGCATATCTTCTTCTTCCTCTTTATTGGCGTAGACACCGATTAGAATCTATTACTAATATACCGATCTTTTCACTGTTTGTCGCCAGTCGGAGACTCGAAGCGTACCCATTTCTTTCCTCACCTGGTCTCTCCAACGAAGTGAAGGTCAAGTTCTGAGCATAAGCTAAAAGGCTTTGAGATGTGATCCATTCCGCAAAACAAAAAGAAGAAGCTGATAAAGCGATATTGTGGAATAATAAATTAGTAATGACTTAGAATGAGAAAACTGCCAATATTACTACGATCACTAATGAGAACCTTCTCAAAAATTGCTTGGAATCTGTTACTATATATGGCTATCAGAGCAGTTGTCATGTTATAAGTAAGTATTTTTCGGAATATTTGCACTACAAGTATATCGATCTGTACTTAAGACTATTCTTGAAAGGTTCCGTCCCCCAAAAACTCAGAAGGTAAAGGTTTCCCGTTTGGAGAGGTGCTGATGGAGAACAGGTCTTTGAGCCGAAGCGCGTCGAAATGACTATAGTGACAATTGGACGCTAAATAAGGTGGGATTGGCTATATACAAGTCCGAGTCCGAGGAAGCCAAGAGTGTCTCGTGGAGAGCCTTCTGCGAAAGTGTAGTGTAGTAGTTTGTGATGACCTCATGGTTTAAACGCATTCTAGCTCTTCATATATATAAAAGGTTTAGTTTTTCACCTATTTTCGTCTAAATGTAGACCTTGTTAAATGATATAAAACGATATTTTTCTAGCCTTTCAGTCCTATTCGCTTAACCACAAAATCCACCTACGAACACCTGTGCTGTATGCCGTTTAAGTGTGTATTTGTTTACCGCTCGCAAATGTGTAAATCTTATTTAAAATTTATTCGTTTTTAAATACAGCGTATACACGACAAAAGCAATACTGCCAACGAAATGCGAGTAGAAAGAAAACATAAGTAAGTGCACAGCAATTTGGAGGCCCTAATGGAAATTATGGTATTTGGCTTCAAAAAAAGTCACTCTGGAAAGAAACCAAAATATATATAGTATATTATAGCTCATGACAGGTAATATTCACTCTATATCTCTTTTGCTCATGATTATTTGAAAAAAAAATAATACCAAAAAAAAAAAAAAAATCCTCAGATAAAAAACAAGCCTTCAATCAACAGTAAAGACATTTCTGTGACTGGCGAAAATAATATTGTACATTATTACTTTGTAAGTATTGTTTGAGATATGTATATACTCCTACATTTTCTACTGAGTTACGGAATTCTTAGCTGTCTGAGCTTTAAGCTCATAAGCCATTTTTTTTTTTGTTTTTTGCAAATTTCAATTAACCTGTTTAATCCTAAAGTCCAGTATATTCATGATATTTCCTAAATATGAAAAAAAAATTCTTCACTTTTTCAACATTTTTTTAAATATTTTTTTCCATCGCTAGGGCTTTCCTACTGGCCTTTGTATGCATTCGTGCTTGCACATGCTTTCATAAATTATACCCGTCTGTAGACTTGACAAATATCCTTGCCAGGTAATTAGTGGCGTTGGCAGTTTGCTGAAATAAGTTGGAGCAAGCAGCAAATATACAAGCTGCGGCATTTAGCAGTCATCGTGTAAAATAGCGGTGAGAAATATGTTCAAACAAAAAAAGAAAACTGAGAAATATATACAGAAGTATAGGGTTCGCTTGCATTTTCGGCTATAGTCCGCTGATTGTTGTACTAGAGCTCCACCAGCATTGCTGTATTCGTATTCATAAATAATCATAAATAATATCGGTTTTAAAAGGTTTCTGAGTAAACTCTTATAAGGTAAGCAGTTCTTTATAATTGATGGACTGTTTCGAGAAAAGGTTTTCCAACGAAAGCTCTTACTTAAGTGACCTGTTGAACATATTATCTAGATATTTGAGTTCTTTCCTACTCCGAATTACGTTATTCGACATCGTAGTGTTCGACTAATTAGATTTCTGGTAAACTCATAATTTGCATTAGCTTCACAATTGTTCGATAAGAAAGGAGTTGTGAATGTTTTCGTTGGAGACTGGAACTAACTAGTCATTGCATTGCAGTCATGAACTCATTTCAGAAGAAATCGATCGCACTATTTTTTTAATTATATGGGTATCAAACCTATTTCATGTATTTCCGAGCACAAAATTTTTATAGACTAGTCTATAGAAAGATTAGACAAAAGAGAGATAATATTCATTCAAATATCAAAGCCATTCGAAATGTCTTTGAAAACAAAGAAGTTGGAAGGAATAAAGCAGTTAAACAAAAATGGATTAATCTAACATTTTTGTTAATACAAGCTTGAAAATAAGATCGAATCGTCGGAATCCTTACTTAGTACCTCAAAATGCAATACTGAAAAGTATTATTAGGGGCTTCTGTAAAAGTACGTTTCAGTTATTCCGTTGAGTTCCAACATCGATTTGAAGAAAGTAAGGCATAATTTGAGAAAAATGACGCAAAACTAATAAAAAAAAATAACACAAAAATTAAAACGTTTAAAAAAATTATTCTTAGTAGTACAAAATAATAAATAGTATAAAATAATCAACCGTGAGTACAAAATGCAATATTTACATACCCACACTACAGTTAGATCTAGATAGTGATTTAAAACCCGTTTCGTTGAAAATCAGCTTGTTGGCTGTAGTTCATATAGCCGGTATCACTTTAGCTGCTATTCTCAACGCCTTTTCTTTAAATGGCTTTGATGCGCTTTCAACGCCTGCATGTATGCAATGTTTATTCGAGCGTAAGCCTTTCGTTGCCCAGCCAATGTGGAAGGCCATTAACAAAGCATGTTTGTACGGTCTGCCTTTGCAAGCATTTCAATGGCGTTGCAAGTGTGTAGCTAAGCGCACATATACGTGTGTGTGTGAATGTGTTGCTGTGTGTGTATTCGTGTGTCCACAAGGCATTGGCGCTGTGCTGGAATTCATTAGCCAAATGCATGGCTGTAAAATTGCATAATTTCTTAGCATAAGCGCCTGGGCATTTTGCACCTTTTACTGCCATTTCATTTCACTGCTTTCTTAGTTACTTACTTGCTGCTGCACGAATGTGAATACTTATATATTTCTGTGAATACACAAGTAGTTTTATGATTGCTTATATACCATATGATGAAATTTTAACCGTACTCAAATAGTTTTTTGATTGCTTATGCATCACGTGATCAAATTTGAACCGGACTCGTTCATCGAATCGGTAAAAAGTTTTTTCTAGACAACATTTTTTATGTTTGCTTGGCAATTGAATGGAAAAAAGGAACACCGAGTTTGTTTACTGCACCACTTAAAGCACTGCGACGTAGAACCTACACCTACCGCCATCTTCTCCGCGTATTTACCACCGGAGAATATGTAGGTAAGGCGAAGTTGCTGGAGCAGAGGCACAGTGAGCTTCTCCATGTATGGATCGAAGCTCGAAGAATATGTTTTAGGGAAGTCTTCTGTCATGGCAGCCATGTATTTCTTCAAAGTGCTGCGTTTTTAAGTAACAACTCTAACAACAGAGCTTTTATATGGGCACTGAGCTCATTGTGACATGGAGGGCATAACGAGACTAGCAGTAGTATTAAGCTACTTTTATATAAAGCTTGTCTGGATGCCTGACCTCAGTAAGTGTTGATTAGCAAGCAGCTCCAGTGGCGTTGCGAAACCCTTATGGCTCATGGAGGTACATAAAAGACTACCTTAACTACTACTTTAGCTTTTAGTAAGGTTATCATGGCCGCATTGATATATTCTAACAGGACTCTGGGAAGATGATAGGGAAACATCCAAACCCTTTCTCTTCCACTGCCAAGCTTTCACCAAATTAAACTTGAAGTATTTCGGTCACCATGCTCTCCATGAATACATATTCGGCAGTTGTGTGGTCGTCTCTAAGCACTTTGTCGGAAGACCAATAAGGAATTCTATTTGGCCGCTTGAAGGCGYCTCCATKAAGC